TCAGCAAACATAGGAAGCCAGCATGCTTCGAACGTGGCGTGATTTTAGAATAGGGCCGTTAGGGTCAAGACATTATAAATAGGTGTTCTTATGTTAGATTTAATATGTTCACTTTTATGTATTAAAAGATCTCAAAATACTCAAACTACCGTGAATTAAGGAAAATGAGTCAGAAGATACAATGTACGTATTGAACATCATTACTTTTTTACAATTTCAATACAAGTCTTGTTATATTTAGTTCGCCATTACAATATTTCCTTGCCCTTTAAATCCTTCGATTTCCTTGCATTTCCTTGCCCTTTAAATCCTTCGATTTCCTTGCATTTCTTTGTTTTACTTGCCTTTAAACACAGCCACTTCGTTAGAAACTTTACTTTCACTTTATTCTTTTAGTCAAACACTTATCTTTACATTCAAGCCCAAGTCTAATTCGAAGCCTTTCCTTCCTACATTCAGTTAGTTTATTCCTATAGACCATTTTAGAAATCTTTCCTAAGAATCTCATATTCGAACTTAACATACAATATAAGTCTATCAATATAATAAATATGAACATAGAAATAAGTTATGACACATGTGTTCTAGGATCAATCTAGTCGATCCTGCAAGTAACCAATAATAATTAGTAAATTGGAAGACTAGCGGTTGTTTACTAGAAATCACTGTAAATACTCCCTCCAGAGGTTTTTTTGCTTTACCTAACAAGAGTTAAATATCAAAAAGCAAAGAAAAACACTAATGAGTGAATACGAATGGATTAATTCAAGACAAACATATTCAATGCATTATGATTAATATTCAAGAATAAGCAAATTTTGCATACAAGAAAGTACTGAACCGAACAAGAAAAATTACAAATGATAATGCAAATGCAATTTGAATTTGCCATGTTGAGAAGACTAGTCTCCATATGTACTTGTTGCTTCAGTCGATGATCTGGCCGTCTTGACATTCAATGAGTCAAAGGAATCTTCAAATATGACTAGCTGGCCCAAGAATGATGACCTTTACATCCAGTAGGTCTTACACTTCATCTTTGAATGGTTCATATCCTTCAATTGAATGGCCAGCTACCCCAACATAGTAATTACGAAGGGTATTCCCTCAAAAGATGTGATGAACGCATTATCAAGCGAACTTGCATAAAATGCATCACAAAGTGTCTTATTACCACAGAGAAAAAACGCAAACCATCTTCTACTACACAGAAGAGATCCAGCCGCTGAATTCCGGAGTGTGTCCTACTTCACGAAAGAGTCTTTGTCTTCTACTACACAAAAGAAAAATTCATAAACTGTAACAAAGAATCTTCTACTACACAGAAGAAGCTAAACTCTGAATGTAGAATTCGAAATTTGAGGTGTTTTCCTTCTACACAGCAGTAAATGTCCAAGATATCGATATATTATACTTCTTCTTCTTAGAAGCATCCCTATCTTTTACTACACATAAGTAACATTCAGCTGGGGAGAAAGAGTCTGAAATGGTTTACCAAACATGGACTAATCCTTGGAAAAGAAGCCAACCCAGTGCCAGACTTCATACTTCAATCCCTTGAAATCTTCAATATCATAACCAGGTGCCCCAAAATGGGAGAGACATCCAGCATTGGCATCAAAATCAGGGAGAAATTTGTGGGAGGATGACCCAAAGTACGAAACTTAACCAACTAATTTTCCAACACACGAGGAAGTAATTGGATGCAAGACATTGAGATTGTATCAACCTACTTCTCAAGCTTTTTCTGTCTCAGCTGGTAAGTTTTACCCCATGGGTTCACTTGGAGACCAGAAACTAGCCGTTGACGAGAGAATTCGGGAATACAAAGTTCTGGATGAGACCCATAAAGTATCTCTCGATTTTAAAAATGTCCCATAGGCTGGGGATGAATGACAACTTTTGTTGCAACAACATATCCAAGACTTTCCTTTGCTGATACTGTCTTCAGAATTTCCATACCTGACTTAACTGAGTCTCTAACTGGTTATCTTTCCTCCTTTAAGGATTTTTGACCATGGGCCAAGACTTGTATGTCCATGATAAACAGCCCCATCTAATTTTTTTGTCTCATCGAACTCCCCACGAAGTTATTCCACATCTTTTTCAAATAACGGAACAGTGAGAAATCAAGATTCACCATTCTGAAGAGAAAATATCGGGCCTGAATAAGAATTCCCCACTATGAGTACTTGTTATTAATGCATGAGATGCATGAAGATGCACGAAGATGCATGAGGTGAATGAGCTGATGCAATGCCATGTTCAAACATCTTTTTTATGCATACAATCTTTCACATTTTTTTGTAAAATAAACATGTTATGATGCAAGGTGCAATGACACATGTTCAAAAGTTCAGCATAACAATTGTACCATCCTCTGGATAACTGATGTATAAATCTTTCGAATAATCCGGATATCACAAGATCAAAGGTTCGACACCAATTTCAGAACACAACAGAACCAAGTACCATGCATAACCTTTGTAAAATCTCTGGCTAAGTTGAATATATCAGGATCAAAGGTCCAGAACATAAACAGAATCATAGTTACCGACAGAACACAACGATCACTATCAGAACATAGTCACCATCTGTACTTGTAATAATCAAGTCCCTCCCCACTCACGGGTGAAAACTAGGTTAAGGTAAGAAAACGTAACTCAAAATCACGGGTTCGCTTGAGATTACTATCCTCGTACACCTACGTGATAATGATAGAAACTCATTAAAACCTCATCTGAGCATGGACGACACAACCTTCTAGGGTAATCTACATCCCCTATCCGTCATGTTCCACTATATTCCTAGTGTTCCTATTGTTTGTCACTTGGCCTGGGTATTGGGAATTTTACCTCATAGTAACACCCATCCGACAAAGAAACACGAAAGCCAACACAACAGCAGTATATGGAAAACAATAAAGATGAAATGTAAACATATGCTCAGATAAACATGTACAAACTAATAAACTGGAAGCATAAAAATAAACACCCAAAGAGAAGAAAGCAAGAGCTAGGATCGACTCCAGGATGGACCAGCAATAGGTCAATATGTCCCCAGTAAAGTCACCAGCTGAAACAACCGGCTGAACAATCAACTGATAATAAAATCAATGAAGTCGCCATCGAACATTTTTATCCCATGGGAAGGGAAAGGTAAACATCGAGTAAACCTGAGAAGGGTGAAATCATGGTCGAACGACCAAGAGATCGGGTAAGGGAGTCTGTTACGCGAGGGGAAGGTATTATCACCCCACACGCCCGTAGTACTCTATGGTATCCACTCTTGTTGTCTATCTTATGGGTGTGTTAGAATCTAAATCTAAGTTGTACAGGGAATGCATGTAAAAGAAAGGAGAAAAGAATGTAGGGAAAATAAAAGTTGTGCTCGCTCGGGCCCTACCCCAATGCCTACGTATCCCTTTTAAGGAATCAGAGCAGCCGTAGTCCGACCTTAAAAGTTTTTGTTTGTTTGTATTTTTTAATAAATAATATTAATTTCTCCTTCTTCTGCAACTCGACCTTTGGAGACTTACGCGTCAGCACAAAAGTGAATTAACATGTCCTCTCTGAAAAAGTTTGAAGGAAAAGCCCGAAGGCACAAAAGAGTTTGCATTGATTGGTATTTTTACCTAAAAGAAGGATTTGAAAGTTGTTAGATGTTTTATGCTTTTTCAAGAAAAGAGTTTTTGTTTTAAATGAAAGGATGCAGAAGAAAAGAAAACATCTAAGGGAGACTAACCTAAATCTATCCCTAATATAATCATACAATGATTGATCCTAAGGTTGAGTTTAGAAGGGAAATCTCTACCCTGTGTTGACATGATTGGATAACAATCCTAATGTCTATCTCAACTCATCATCTATAGATGAATCAAGAAGTCCTAAATGAGCATAGCAAGGGTCTATCACCTAAAACTATGTCTATCTCGAATCATCATCTATAGTTGAATCAAGAGCTCCTAAGGGAACATGTCGAGGGTATATCATCTCAAAACATGCACACAAAGATGAAATTAAACAAACAAGCCAGTAAGCTCAAGAGAGCACACCTAGAGAGATTATATCTAGGATAGCATGCCAAAGAAAGTCTAACAAAACTATCCTATGGGGAACATGCAATGAGAGCAAAGTCGTGATCTCAATTTCTAAATTGAGTGACTCATCGTTCAACAAGAAAGTAAACAAACCCAAGCACAACACATATAGTAAATGAAGTGCGGAATGCCTGCTACAGGTCTTTAAACAGCGACTTCGAGCGCACGCTCTTTATTTCCTACTTCTCATGATATCTAGAAAGCAGTAAAGTGCAAAATGAGATAAACAAGAGAAAATACCAAACGGGTATCAATTCGTAGCAAAGCGCATCAAAACAAAGAAACCCGACGATCTTCATAAAAGCTTCACCGATCAAAGAAAAGAGTCAGAAATTAAATGCTCAGAATAAGCGTCGAAGCATCATCGATGTGAAAATAAATAACAATCGAAATCTCAAGCGCATCTGCATATCGCCCAATAAACCTGCATAAGACTCAAATCTCAACAAGCAAATGTGAATTACCAATCACAAATATAACCGGATAATCAGGATTTAATTCCTAAAATCACATAAAAAATCTAATTAATTTTTATTGATTTTATAAATTTTGTCAGAAGAAAATTCAAACAAATCCAAACAATTAACAAAATTATTTAAAAGGAATTACTAAAACAATAAACAACAAAACAAAGCCCAGGAGTTGCAAACTGAATCCAGGAGTGACATGCTGAAGTAGAAACAATACGCAACCCAAGGGAGATAGTCCAATAAGTCAGCTTTTGTTACAAACTTCCAAGCTGTAAAAAAAATAATACAGGGCCAAGCAAAGTCCAATAACAACTACCAAATTTTTGTTTGCTTTAACCTGTCTAAACAAAAAAAAAACACGAACCCCATGGGCTTTGGTTCGGTTTGCATTAACACAAGCCTAACAATTAATTCAGCCATGATTTGTTAACATGAAAAAGAACTTAAGAAGAATTAAAAGAAAACAAAATATGAAACGGTGGATCTTGTGCAGAGTTTCAATTTATGATCCTTCACCTTCCATGATATCTCTTGTCTTTCCTTCTCACTCTGCATACAGCGGTGCATCTTTCATCTCGATCATAGCACCGTTGCGGTTCTCAAATTCCAGCCACTTCAAACCACCACAACCCGTCCTCTTCTTTTATCCGTCCTGAACTCCTCTGTCTCCTCTCATCCGCGCCTCCGACGGCGCGACCTTACTCAACTCCGTCGCTACTGATTTCATCGGTTTCAAATTCTTTCGTTTCTTTTCATTGTTTCGTTTGATTCGCCGATCTCTATGCAAATTCGGACGGTGAATACGAGGGATATTGGGGCAAGAATTTGGGGGAAGCGTTTAGGAAGCCAAAAAATACATCACAGTATGAAAAAATGTTGAAAATAGGCGAAGAAAACAACGGTTCTAGGCTTACCGGCCGGAGTCTCTCCGGCGGCGTTTCAACAACAACGAGCGGCGTTTCAACAACAACGATGATGACGAGATAATTAGAGAATCCTCAAATCAGGTATACACGCTCCGTCGTCTACTCCTTCTATCTCTTCTTCTGCTTTTGATCTTTCTACTTCATCTGCTTCCTCCTCTCCATGAATGTTGTAATTTTCGAAACGAAACCAGAAGATGATGATGATTATAATGTTACTGTTGTTTGCTCGTTCTTGAGCGTTGCAGGAGCAATGATGTGATAACACCATTGTTGATGAAACAAAAATTGTTGCCGCTGAGAAACTAGAAATTGGAGATGATAGGGAGAGATATGTGGTGCGGTTATGGATTAAAGAGTGAGTTCTTGAAGATTGATAATGATTGAAGCCGTTGTAGAGATTTAATGGTGATGAAGATGTGAAGCGATGACGAATACTTGAAGCAGTTGAAGATGAAGGTTGAAAGGTTGATGAAGATGCGGTAATGGTGCAAAGAGAGTTTCTTCTGATTTTGTGATTCTTCTACGGTTTGATCAATGAAGAGAGAGTGAAGATTAGTGGTATGGATGTTGATGAAGGTGATGAAGACTGAATATTTGGGAGAACTTTTGTCTTGTCTTTTTAGTGATGACGGTAAAGATGAAGAGTAGAGGGAAAGTTCTGTACTGGTGAACCTTCAGAGAGAGAGAGAGAGAGAGATTTCCTCTCCTTTTTGTTAGGTACTTGTGCATGGTATTCATTATCCTGTTGTTCTGCAAACACAAAACTGCTAGACAGATCATATACGTCACGTAAGGTAACAGACTTGATACCAGCAAGAATGAGATTATTCACAATCTCAGCACCAAGTCCCTGCATCCTCGGCATAAGAATTCTAGCATCAAAGAGCCTACATATGGTCTCTCGACCATACACAGCACACTTCCTGCTATGCAGATCTTCATCAATATCCATCGAACTAGCATCTCCCAAATTCATGACGTAAGTCCCTCGTTCAAGAATCCTCTCACTATTGTCGTTGTCATTCTGTTTTGAATTTTAGCCAAAGTTGTTAGAAACAGCTGGCCTTTCTGATATTCTTTTCTATTTATTTTTCTTTTGCAATGTTCTGGTGCATATTAGTACATGGCCAAGAGCAGGTATACATCATCTCTGATTAGAGGAGCATAATGGGTGATGCTACGATGCAGTCGCGAGTTTAGTAATGAAAGGCAATCATTGTGAACCAGTTTGAACTCGGTTGGTTTGGACTGTATGCAATGCAAGGAACTTCTTCAATGGATATGCACCTGATTATGGATAAAATAGTGAACTGGTTTTGAAGCCTACTTAACCTAGTATTGAACTAGTTTCTCTCTTTACTGTTTAGTCGGCAAGGTGTGGAACTATTTTGCATGAAATTTCTAAACTTGTTTGATTTGGAATTCTGTATATGATCTTGTAGGTTTTTCCGAGTCCACAACTTTTGTATCTATGAAATGATGTGTAAAACTGAATATGGATATGTGGATAACGTGAGCTGCTCGATTTATAATGCCTTGGATTATTTATGTATGTAGGTGTTTTATTCATAATCCTAGCTTGTAGTTAATTAAAAGGTTAAGACATAGCATAACATTGGATATGTCTTGTTGGTGCGGCAGCTTGTGCACTGTTATAGTTGGTTATTTTTTTGGGAAGCTGGAAGTACAAAAGCTTATAGACGAAGAAGCATAGAGATGGAAATGGAGTTAGGCTTTTAGGAACTAGGCTTAGAACAATGGTTTTGGTGTAGTTTCCTGATTCTTCTTGTTTTTGCTGTGAAATAATGTCAAAAGATATATGCAGGGTAATTGGTTTTATATGATTGCTCCTGAATTTGTAATAGATGTGGTGTTTCTTTGTAATGGGTTTGATGGTTTTTGAATGGTAGATTTGGAATGTAATATCGGACTTGCTTGAGGTGTGAAAATGAAATTAGAACCATTTGTTTTTTACTGCAAATTGCAATATTTTCTTGAGTTTTATATGTGCAGTAAATTGCCTCTTCCAAATATCCCATCTCTGACTTTTGCTTTTCGCGGTATTCGAAATGAGAAATAATCAATGCACCTACTGAGAACAAAATTATCATTGCCCAACTAAGTTCATGGACGTCTTCCAAAGCATACATGTCTCCCAAATACTTCATGCCAGTAAAAAAGTGTTGCAATGCCAATGGCAATCGCATATCTGCCGACAATTATATGCAAGTATTCCCAAATAATCCTTTTATATGATACCTGCTCCCCATTTGACTGTCTTGAGGGCCTAAGGAAAGCATTAACTGGTTGTATGCAAGCCACAAATATTGCAGCAATTCCAAATTTAACATGTATTGAGCTAACATGAAAACTGCGAAGCTCAGCAAACGCTAAAAGAAGTGTAGGAAAAACTATTGATAACCTTGAGTATTGCATGTAAACATGAATTTCGTACCAACCATTGCCCTTCAAATGTTTCAAGTACCTGGCCGCCAATATACCTCCTGGAAACAAGATACCTCATGCAAGAAACATCATGAATATCTATGCTCTTGAACAAGTTAATTTTGATGTACCAAGTAAATAACAATGAATCCACTCTTTAATTATCAAATCCATATTTATCTGGTACTTCAAGAAATCCAAATAATCCATCTTCAACCTATTTTCTTACAAGCTTCAAACAACTTTATTCAACTAACACCTTTATAAAACTTGAATGAACACCAACCCAAACGATGATTCCAAATCAAATTCCATCTTTAATGAACGAAACCAAATGCTCATCACATAAAAAGGAAGATTACAGTGAAAGTCAAGCCTTTGTAAGAAAATCCAAGAAATGATGACAAAACTTGTAACATAAGTAATGGATGGAGGTCCTTAATTCTGACGGAAAGAGACTCCAGATAGCCATAAGATGCAACCCTAAACCATGATCCTTGGAGAAGAACTCGATTGGAGCATAATTGCCGAAAACCTGGCTTCGATCGCACATAGGAAAATAAACCCTGATAGCCTCGTAGCTTGATGAAGACAGAAATTCTCAGTGACTCGGATTACAACCCTAATTCCACCATTTACTGTTTGAATAAGAAAACATCCTTTATTTGATTTGTATACTTCAATCACAATGAAGCCCTGATTTTGCATGACCACTGAACTTTAAACCTCCAGGTACTTTATCGGATGTAAATGTATGTTAATGACCTAATGGAATATATACAGATGAATGCAAAAATCTAAGCCAAATAAAAGAAATTAGGAGGGCAAATTTTGGGGCGCAACACTGAGGCCTCAAACATTTAGTTTTATCATAGGCCAATATTATTTCAAATCAGCAACTATGTTGGTTCACAATAGAGGAAAAGAAGCCCAATAGAATTTCAATTCTAGCCCAACATAAAAAATCCCCATACATGCCCAACAGAATTTGCATCATTGGCCTAAGAGATGTGTTACTTTTTGCAAATCACAAAAGTGGATTTCTTGGTTCATAAAAAGCAAAAGATAAGATAGAAATCAGATTATCATCATGTTTTCACACACAAAAAAAGAAGCCTCATGTTGTTTCACTTCAAAGAAAAGTCAGAGTTCACAAATCAAATCACAGGCCTAGGAAGTTTTCACTGCAAAATCTCAAAGACCATGCTTTTGTTCACAGAAAAAGAGAGAAAAAACTCAGAAAAGTATTCATCACAGTATAACAGGCATAAAGTACAAGAAACTCAGCAAGCTAGCATCACAGTAAAATAAACAAAGTACCAAAATCTGTACAAAGTTTATCAAGTCACAAAACCAGCAAAAGTACAACAAGTGCAGCCCCAAAAGCAAGCAAAAGCCAGCATCTATCACAAGTAAAATAACACAGCCAACAAGCAACCAACAAACTAGTACAACAAAATTAAAGTGACAAAACGATGCCCCTTAAGTCAGCATCAAGCTTGTACCAAAAAAAAACAAGTAAAGTCAACCAACAAAAGCATCAAACAAGTCCCAAAGTCAAAATCCATCACAGTATAAAAACATCGCACAAAGGAGAACATAATTCACAGGGGGAGAGAGATAAAAAAACCAAAACCATGATTCCAATTTTACAACACATAAACTCCTCAAAATCGTTTTCAAACTGAGTTCGAGAAACAAATATACAGATTCAAAACAAAATCAACAAAAACTAAACCTTGTTCAACACAAAAAAACCGAGTCATCACACAAAAACTCCTCAAAGCCATTTTCAGCAAATATGCAAAATATACAGTCACATAATATACAAACAGAACCAATACCAAACATGAAACTCTAAATTATTTTTACATCATTTTCACAAAAACCTAAACCCTTCAGAGATACGAATAAAAAGAAAGAGAGAGGAAAGATCTCAACAAAACAGTGTTAGGAAGCAAATCGGAGCCCTTAAGGTTTTCGTTCGTCCACTTTCCGATCTACGCAAAATCAAGCACAAGATTAATAACCGGGAGGACGAGAGGAAGAGATTGATGTAAGAAAAATCAAGTTTGGAGCATTGCCGCCGCCTCGCCGCCACAAGGGCAATTTCTGGCGCGAACTAGTTTTCTTCTCCGGTGAGGAGAACGAAAGAGTAAGAGAGAGAGTGATTTGTTAAAATGAAACTATTTTTTTTTGTGTTTTGTTTTTGTTTTGTTAAAACAAATTTTCAGGCCCATTGTAAGTTCTCAAATCAGGCCCAACGACCCCTTTCCAACACGCACCCCTACCCTTGCTATTCACCACCAGCACCGGGCCCAACTATCATGCAGGTCCAACTGTTTTTTTATTAGTATTTTTCTGACTTACAAAAAAACTCCTCTTGGGTCAGGCTTAACCAAAAATTTGTTTTACACAAAAAGACCCTAAATTCAATTTTTACCCCCTGACTTACTTTTTTTATATTTTTTATTTTATTTTATTTCTTTAAATATTATTATTATAATTATTATTTTTATTAACAAAAAAATATTAATTTATTTATTTATACTATATCTATTTATTTTATTTCAAGACCAAAAATATTAGAAAACATTTTGTTACAAACTTTATTTCTTTTTCTTAATTAATTTAATAATTAGACATAGGTTTATTTATTTTATTTTTTAATTCAAACTTAGAATTTAGGGTTTCTCTTAACCTAATTTATTTTTATGCTATTTTAGTTAATATTAAAATCTTTTCATAAAAATACTAAAAAATATTTTCTTTTCTAAATTAAGTTAATTTATTTTTATTTTATTAAATCATTTTCTTTTTAGTTTATTAGGTTAAAATAAAAACCTTTTTTCTTAACAAAACCAAACAATTCATTTCTTTTTCATTCATTACCTTATACATTGTTTCTTTACCTTCTTGCATATTATTTATTTCAATTCTTGTACATTTATTCAATATGGTTGTAATAGATAATTAGGGTTTAATTTCTTGCAATCCCAATTTGTAAATGTGTACCCCCTATCCCCAAAATGATTGTAATAGTGTAGGACATTTATTTTTCGCAATTTATCGCTTTCATATAAATGCTAGTAATTAGGGTTTGTATGGAAAGATGAAATCAATTTAGAAAACCCTAATCCAAAACAAACAACCATGAAATCAAAACACTTGCACACTTTGCACCTCTAGGGTTAAATCCACTTTGTTGCCTTAAAATGGCCATGTTACGCATGTGAGGTGCCTTAGCAAAAACAATAAAAATACAAGATCATAGTCTCTCGATGACGCTTCGTATGTTGCCTTATAAATGATCTTAGACCCTTAAGAAAAATGATAAGATATCTCACTACATTTCTATCCATGACTATACGATGACACACGCTCGTCCCTTCACATATAAAGATAGGGGTATTTACCAATCAATGGTGAGATAACGATGTCAAAGGAAGAGCGAAATAAACAAAATACTTTTGAGTAAGTAGAATGTTCTTAGTTGCTTGCTCACAATCCATCTTCAAAAACAAACATCTTTTCAAACACATCAAAATACTTTCAAAAACATGAAATATTTTCAAAAGTCCAACACTTTGTATGCATTTTTATAGAGACGAGAATCATTACAAAGTTTTCCTAAACGAAGGCGCTTTTTAAAAATACTTTCAAAATCCACCACAAACACATTTCAAACAAAGAAATTTCAAAAGTGAGCTAGCAAGCAACTAAGATCCCATAGATAACTATGAATGAAAAGGGTGCTAACACATTCCCTTTTCATAACCTACCCTCCAAACTCAAGAAAATATCTCAAAGGTCTTTCATGTTCTTTTCATCCTTTCCTTATTGGATAAAAGAAAAGTCGGTAGCGACTCTTGCTATCCGCAACAATTGCAATCAAACGCAAAACACCCAAGCCAGTTCTCCCACCGTATTACAATGAGGAAGAAGAAGAGGCACAAGAAGAAAAAAAATGATATGGAAGCTATGGAGGAGGACACCCAAGTGCCTCAAGGCAACAATGCTGATGTGTTGGCTCTATTAGAAAGAATGCAAATTAAACAACAAGAGAATTCATCTATTCAAAGTGAAAGACTAATAAACCTCTACAATCTTGTTCAGATTCAAGGT